CTGAGCCTGGCTGTAGCAGCTCCTGAGCCTGGCTGTAGCAGCTCCTGGGCCTGGTTGTAGCAGCTCCACATAAGCGATCCAGGGGTACACAGGGAGTAGACAGGACATCACCAGATGACAGGAGACGATGCCAGGACAATGTCAGGACAGGTCATTTATTTATGTGTAAAAGTTTAAATGATCTGAATATTTGATAGCAGTCCAGCTTTCTGTTGTCAGGTTTTGCATTTTAACAAAGCAGCAGATATTGAGTCTGGCTCGTCACCACTGCATACTGCATCTCACAAATAAAAACCTCTACAGTCATTTGGAAAATGCAAAATGTCTTACTTGTTGTTTAGGGAGGGGTAAGAAAATACTTACAAAGCCTAAACCAGGGGTGCCCACACTTTTTCAGCATGCAAGGTACTTTTAAAATGACCAAGTCAAAGTGATCTACCTGCTATAAGGCCCTGTTTACATGAGAACTACCTCTGGAAACATTAGTTTTTTATCAATGTTTATTGGAGGAAATAAACAAAAAATTAGCGGGTTTACATGAAAACACTGTAGCTTCCAAGTCAGTCTGTCGTATAAGGCTGGTGAAGGTAAACCCAATGGTGCAGGCAAGCAATAGCAGACTCAGGAGATTATAAAATAAAGTATTTATGAACTAGAAATCAAAAAGGCTGATGGTGCAACAAAACTTGCATGAAATCACATGGAGTAGATGGGACATCATGAGTGGACAGTTTACAATGCCAGGACAAAGGACTAACACAGAGACACAAACTTATATACAGTGACTAACGAGACAAAACACCTGTGAGGGGACACAGCTGAAACACATCAGGGGAAATGACAAAATAGAAAACCAGGGAGTGCAGGAACAGACACACAACACCAGACCAACACTAGGAGAACATGAACCCTATAGAAGACAGAAACTGAGGAAAAGAAGGACACAAAGCATAAACACAACATAAGTTGGGGGTTAAACATCAGGAAAACAGACCACAATCCCTACACAGTCAGGTTACCAGATAAGAAATTATGAACTATGGTGCTGTGACTTTAAAATGATAGTATGTTAACCTAAACTGTCACATGTGCTGAGTAAAGATATTCTAAGATGAGGTATGTGTTGTTTGTTGAACATGTGCACAGAAAATGAGGGAGTAAATAAAACATTCATCTGGCAACCCTGATGATAATAATAATAATAATAATAATAATGTGTATGCATTGTCGTCATTGTAAGTTCCCATACAATGGCAAAATTGGCTTTCTGCATTTAACCCATCCACCACCAGGTGGAGCAGTGGGCAGCCTTTGGAGGTGCCCTGGGAGCAACACCACAGGAGAGCAACTCTCCTGCTCAGAGACACCACGAGATGTATAATGACCGAGGATTGAGCCCAGGACCGTCGGGTGCTGGGTTGGCTGCCCTGCCCTATACCATCTCGGCCCCTGATGCAGGGCTCAGCTGCATTCATTGCTCATGCAGCATCTGCATGACAGTTATGTCCAAACACTAACATCTCTTTGAACCCTGGATTTTATTGGTTTTGCTCCTACATGCTGAAAAAGGGTGAGCAGCACAAACACACTCTGCTCTCTGCCATTTATTATAACTGTTGTTAGTGCAGAAAAACTTTGGACTAATGCACATGTGCCACTTCACACTTGCGGAGCATTTCACACCTCCAAGGGGGTTTCCTCCTGAAAATCTCCACTCTGAGACCTGGATTCAGAAACCTTCAGTTTCAGAGAGAATGAGGGCTGTTGTCCGTAAATGAACGGCTGAACCGCAGCAGAAAGGCTGCGGTTTCATGTCGTGTAAACGGTGCATCAGACTGGCCGCCCTGTATGTCACTCAAGGGCCATAGTGAGGATGGATGATGGGCTGGCAGCTATGTTTTTAATGCCATGTGATCTACCCATACTACCTTTGAGATCGACCGGTAGATTGCGATCGACCGGTAGATTGCGATCGACCGATAGATTGCGATCGACCGGTAGATTGCGATCGACCGGTAGATTGCGATCGACTGGTCGATCGAGATTGACTGGTCGATCGAGATCGACGAGTAGATTGCGATCTACATATTGGGCACCCCTGGGCTAAAGCATATTGTACCCCAAAGCTTCTCCATTTGGATTAGTCTGGATAAGTTTTTGAGTGCTAACAAGCATGAGACGGTAGCAACTGAAGGAACATGAGGTCATGTTGATGTTTGTGGTTCAAACTGATTTCTGCCTAACTGGTGAATGAAGAGTGTCATCACCCATAAATGCTCATGAAGTTTGTCCTTTCTTCTAATGTCAGACTAAAAATCTCAGATATCTAAAATTTAGTTTGAAAAAGCCAACAGTGTGTGTTTTTCTTTTATACTGAAGTTTTATTTGTGCTTATATTCTGACAGCAGTTGGATAGTCACCATAACTGTCTCCAGAAATGGTGGTGATGGTGGTTGGGGGGGGGGGGGGGGGTCCTGTAGCTCAGAGTTCGCTGGGTTCAAGATTGTCATTAAATCGTTTTCAGTGTATTGTATCTAGAATTTTTTTATGTCTTATGCAGATGCGGAGCAATGCAAGTACGGCAAGAACCGCGTGGAGGCTGATGCCAAACGGCTGCAGGCCAAAGAGGAGGAGCTGATGAAGAAGAAGCAGGCGATCAGGAACCATCTGACCCAGCTGAAAAAAGAGAGGAGAGACTTGCGCACTGCCATGGAGGCTGCTGCCGGTGAGAGAGCAAAAAACTGAACAGCCAGGAGTGAAGAGTGGAAATTAGAATTACCCTCTGTCTGTCCATTGTGTCCAACTACAAACATTTAGTATTCAAATCTCTCCAAGACGGGGAGCATCAATGTCAAGTCAATTCAACTTTATTTACAAAGCACATTTAAAACAAGAGCTAAACCAGCCACTAGGGAGCACAAGCTAGTGCATCTTTTGTGCCAGTCCCAAGCCAAGGTAAATGGTGAGGGTTGTGTCAGGTTGGGCATCCAATGTAAAAAGAATGGTGATTGGAGCAGACCTGAATGAACATGTTGGTGAATGAAACAGAGGGGATGAGGAAGTGATGGGTAGGTTTGGTGTCGAGGAAAAAAACAGGAAGGACAGATGGTGTTGGATTTTGCAAAGAGAATGGAAATGGCTGTAGTCAACACCTATTTCCAAAAGAGGGAGGAGCACAGAGTGAACTATAAGAGTGGAGGAAGGAGCATGCAGGTTGACTACTTTCTGTGTAGAAGAGGAAACCTGAGGAAGATTGGAGACTATAAGGTTGTGGCAGGGGAAAACGTGGCCAGACAGCATTGGATGGTTGTGTGTACATGACTGTTATTGTGAAGAAGAGAAAAAGAGTAAATTCAGAGAAGACCAAATGGTAGAAGCTGAAAAAGGAAGAATGTTGTGAGAAATTCAGAGAGGAGCTGTTAAAGGGTCTGGTAAGAAAGGGCTTCCAAATGACTGGGCTACTACAGCAACAGTAATTAGAGACAGGTAGGAAGGTACTTGGTGTGTCATCTGGACAGAGAATGGATGATAAGGACACCTGGTGGTGGAATAGTGAAGTGCAGGACATGTTCAAAGAAAGAGGTTAACCAAGAAGAAATATGACAGTGAGAGGACTGAAGAGAGGAGACAAGAATATAAGGAGATGGGACGTAGAGCAAAGAGGGAGGTAGCTAAGGCAAAACAGAAGGCATATGATGAGTTGTATGGGAGCCTGGACACTAAAGAGGGTGAGAAGTACTTGTACTGATCGGCAAGACAGAGGGATCAGGCTGGAAAGGATGCGCAGCAGGTTAGGATTTTTTTTTTTTTTTACCTGTTTTTTTACGGTGTAACCAGACGTGTTCCCCCCCCCCCCCACACACACACACACCTGCTTCCCTGCTGCGCTCTTTTGTCCTGTGAACCCTTAAAAAAGCCTCTCTTTTTTTCCTGCATACCTCTTAATTTGAAGGATCAGCTGGTCTCTCAACAAAACCAATCAACTTCAACTTCTCCCGACAGGAGTCAGGGTAAGAAGGACCCTCTTACCTCGAAGGAAACAAATTGGATTCATGATGACAACTAGATTCTACTGTTTGGGTTGGTGAAATCTGGTTGTCTACATATTCGTGTGGAGGTGTTGAAGCTTGACAGTGCTCGGACTGAATGTGGAGCTGTGACAGGGAATTGGAGCAGCTGTTATCAGGACTGTGATCTTCCTGGCAGCACTCATGAATGGTGGGAATAATCTGGAGAAGCTGTGAGCTCGACTTTTGGAGTAAAGGATCAATTCGGCTGTTTTGGAGTTTCCATCAGAGAATATGTACAGCAAGACTTTAAAGGCAGAAACAACAATTCACGAGTTCTGCCTGACCCAAACTGTGGCCTTGATGCCAGACTTATCTCAACTCCTCCTGGAATGTTTTGAAAACAACAAAGATGCTTTGACTGTTTCCTCACCCCTCCCTTCCCCAAGGCCGTGGACATGTAACAGAACCTCAACTGAGCTGAAGATGAACATCACCTCTTATCTGGACAATGGCTGAGGGGGGGCTCTGGACTATGCTACGACTTTCCCTTAAAAATTCAATTTTTTCACCGCCTATATGTACATGTATAATGTCTGTTTATGTTGCTTTGCTGTGGTAGGTTTTTTTGATGCCTCAAATTGTGCCCTGTCTAGGACACGGTGTGAGAGATCTTTTTTTTATACCGTCTCTCCTCATGTTTTCTTTCCTTTTCTTATCTAAGCAAAATATTATTCTGAATAAGAATAAGAAGGCCTCGCTAATTATTTATAGCCGCAGCTTCATGCACTCCGCCCATCTTCGGACGACTGTATGTACATATTCGCGTTGTATCTCGGTGCAATGCCAATAAAGTTTTTTTCTGATTCTGATTAAAGATAGGAATGGTAATGCCTAAAGAAGGGTATGGCAATAGGACCGGATGACATATTAGTGGAGCTGTGGAAATGTCTTGGAGATATGGCAGTGAGGTTTTTGACTCAAATATTCAGTGGCATAACTTGAGAGTGAGAAAATGCCTGAGGAATGGAGAAGAAGTGTGCTGCTGCCCATTTTTAAGAACAAGGGTGATGTACAGAGTTGTAGCAACTACAGGGGAATTAAGTTGATGAACCACACAATGAATATTTGGGAGAGAGTTGTGGAAGTAAGACTAAGAAGAGAGGTGACTACAGCATTTGTGAGCAGCAGTATGGTTTCATGCCAAGAAATGGCACCACTAATGCCATCTTTGCTTTTAGGATGCCGATGAAGAAGTACAGAGAGGGTCAGAAAGAACTCCATTGTGTCTTTGTGGATTTAGAAAAAAAACATGACAGGGTGCTAAGGGAGGAGGTGTGGTGTTGCATGAGGAAATCTGGAATGACAGAGAAGTATGATAGACTGGTACAGGACATGTATGAGGACAGCAGGACAGTGGTGAGATGTGCTGTATGAGTGACAGATAGTTAAAAGGTGGAGGTGGGATTGCATCAAGGATTGGCTCTGAGCCCCTTCTTCTTTGCTCTGGTGATGGACTGACTAACAGATGAGGCCAGGCAGGAATCCCCATGGACTATGATGTCTGCATATGACATTGTGATCTGTGGTGAGAACGGGGAACAGGTGTAAGAGAATTTGAAGGGGTGGAGGTATGCACTTGAAAGAAGAGGAATGAAAGTCACTTGAAAGAAGAGGAATGAAAGTCAGCCGTAGTAAGACAGAGTACATGTGTGTGAATGAGAGGGAGACTGGTGGAACAGTGAGTCTACAAGGAGCAGAGGTCACAAAGGTGCAGGACTTCAAGTACTTGGGGTCCACTGTCCAGGAAAATGGGGAATGTGGTAAAGAGGTGAAAGAGAGTCCAGGCAGGATGGAGTGGATAGAGAAAAGTTTCAGGAGTGATTTTGTGACAAAAGGTTGTCAGCAAAGGCCCACGGAAAAGTTTACAAGACAGCGGTGAGATCAGCCGTCCTGTATGGTCTGGAGACAGTGGCATTGACAAAAAGGAGAAAGAACAGGAAGTGGCAGCAATGAAGATGCTGAGGTTCTCCCTACGAGTTACAAGAATTGATAAGATTAGGAATGAGATCATCAGAGGTACAGCACAGATTGAACAACTGGGAGATAAAGTTAGCGAGGCCAGACTGAGATAGTTTTGACATGTCAAAAGGAGGGACAATTGGTATATTGGTAGAAGGATGTTAGAAATGCAGCTGCCAGGAAAAAGACAAAGAGGAGATATATGGATTCAGTTAGAGAGAACATGGAGGTAGTTGGAGTAAGGACAGAGGATACAGAAGACAGAGTGAGATGGAGGAGGATGACTTGCTGTGGCGAACACTGAAGAGGGAAAAGCCGAAAGAAGAATTTAAACAAGACCTGTTACCAAAGTGCTTAACAATAACAATGAGAGCAAAAATAACGGAAACATAACACTAATGCTAGTACTAAAAAAAATTAAAAACATTGAATAAAAACGTAAAAACACATAACAAAATTACTAAATCGACTCGCACTGTGTAAAATGCCAGAGAAAACAGATGTGTTTTTAGCATAGATTTGAATACAGGAAGGGAGGTGGCCTGCCTAATGTTGGGGGGCAAATTGTTTCAAACTTTGGGGCCTATGACTGAAAATGCCCGATCATCTCTGAACTTCAGGTTTTTTTTGGAACAGCCAAAAGCATTTGATCAGATGACCTCAGGGCCCGAGAGGGAACGTATAGTTCCAGTAGCTCAAAGAGATAAGGGGGTGCAGACCCGGCCTGATGGTTGGCAGCAGATGATGATGCAGCAGAAAGTGCAATGCTGGCTTTGATCCTCACGAGATGACTGGCACATCTTCCACGGCACCTGGAGTGATGTCTTTGAGGAGGCAATCCAGAGCTCTGATCATAATGGTCGAACAAGGTGAGGTTGGTGGCAGATAATTGTAGATTTAGACATTGTTGATGGTCGTACACCAGTAAGGAACGATGTCGCTGAAGGAAAATGACAAAAACAGAAGAAAAAAATGACCACAACAGACAGAGGTAAAAGGCAAGCCACGAACGCTAGCGCCATTTTCCCTGAAGACTGTCAAGCTTGTACCACTTGTTTCACTAAGCACCTTTCCAGGTGGAGTTAATTAATTCAACCTTTATTTAGACAAGTTAATCCCATTGAGCCTCGAGGACTCATTTATAAGAGAGACCTGATTTCATCAAAGAATGATGACGACAATGGACAAGCGTGACAACAATAATCATAAAAGAGGCATACAGAGTTTTATTTTTTATTTTTTTATCTGCATTGGTCCTTGCCAGGAGTCCAACAGATTCTTAAAGCCACTTAGAGAGGTCAAGGTCGAGCGCTTCAGATCTTTTTGCAAGATATTCCAGGAAACGGGAGCAGAGTAGGAGAAGGCCCTTTTACCGAGTTCAGTCCGCACTGAGGGAACACTGCAGGTAATAATGTCCTGAGAGCGCACGATATAGTTGCACTCACGCAGAGACATGTAGGAGAAGATGTATGAAGGCAGCAGACCAAGAAGTGATTTAAAGATGAGAATGTACCAGTGGGAGAGTCTGTGTGAAGTTAATGATGTCCAGTTAACCAGTGAATACAGGGTACAGTGGTGGGTATGATAATCACAGCCAGTTAGGAATCTTAGTGCACCGTGATAGGCAGCATCTAACATCTACAAGGTGCTTGTAGTAGCGTTCATGTAAATAATGTCACCGTAATCAATTGAGGGA